AAAAGTAATAATAAAATAAATAAAGCACTCAATACATAGTAAGCAATGCCTAAGTATATTTTTGTACTATATAATAATTTTGATGATAGAATTGAGATAATGTGATTCTTTTGAAGACACTAATTCTTTAGAGGATCTATACGTATGTTTTATAATATTTCCCCCATCAGCTTACTAGTTTCCTATTACTGCTACAACAAATTGCCATAAACTCATGGCTCAAGGTAATACAATTGATTATCTTATAGTTCAGAAGTCTAAAATGTGTCTACGGAGCTGCATTCCAATTGCTGGCCATTAAAGGATAATCCTTAATTCTTTGCCTTTCCTTGATTTGTGGCCTCATCCTCCACCTTGAAAGTCAGCAATGGCTGGTCAAATCTTCCTCAAGTTATACTACTCTGATGTGCCACCACTATAACCAAATCTCCCCCTTCCTTCTTTTAATAAGGACCATTGTCATTACATTGAGCCCAGCTGTATAATCCAAGATAATTTCCCTCTCTAAACTTAATCACATGTTCAGTCTTTTTTACCTCGTACAATAACATTCACAGGTCTTGGGGATGTGGATGTTGATATCATTGTGAGGCCATTCTTCAGCCTACTACAACTAGTAAATCAATTCAAGCTGGTTTGAAGAAATTTTCAAAAAACCTGTTTCTATAGCAATGAATCTATAACAGGCTACAAGACCAAAAAACTAGTAATGTCATTCATCTGTTATGACTGGGGCAGTGTGCTAGTTGTATGGAACTCAGGGTAACAGAGCACTTTCTATCATTACCTTTAAGGAGCCCTAGGATTAAAACAGACAAAAAAATTTCTATAGTATAATATATTGTGGTGGGGAGCTAAATAGGTTTGGTCAGGGGAAGCTTCAGAGAACAGATGAGCATTGGAAGAAGGAAGGACTAAAGGAGTACAAAATCCCTAGCAGATGAAGTAGGTAGAAGAAGGAAGATTGCAGGCTAAGGGAAGGGAAGGAACATATACAAAGGCAGACAAAATTTAAGAGTCTGGAATGTTCAGGGAAATGCAATAGTTCAATTTGGCAGAGAGTTCAGATTAAAAAGTGATGAGAGATGAGGCTTGAAAATCAGTCAGGAGTAAAAGACATTTAAATTCTGTCGTGAGTTCCACTATAATTATCCCATGAGATGGTCAGACTATATAGGTCCATCAGTCAGCAATTAATCAGAACCCATTGCTATAACAGAATCAGGTGTTCCCTTGAGAGAGTTTATAATTTCCTACTTAACCATATGTCCTTTATCAGACATCCTCTAAAACTATAAAAAAATTCTGAATCTCATTAGAATATATGAACTAAAAAAATTTTAAAACCATCTTTTCAAAGCATCCTCTCATGTGTGCTCCATAAAATGTTATATCTAGGAGATATAAATAGATGGCTCTCAGAAAAAAATGTCATGGTCAAAGGACTTGTAAACCCTTATATATTATATACCATATTTTGAAATTAAAAATTCATACAATATTATCATATGATAAATTATGCAAAAATAAATTATTTTTATTCAGAATTTTATAGCTTTTACCACCATACAAAATTTATGTTTTTCCTAGTTTGTTTGTTTCCCGAAGACATGTGGAAGTGTGTGTACTAAACAACACTATGGGAAATGACTCTAATCCTGTGCGTCTCAAAGCCAGTTCCTGGCCAGCACCATCTACACCATCAACCAGGTCACTTGTTAGAAATGCAAATTCTTAGGATATATTCCTACAAGTGGACTCACTGGGTCAAATGGAAGTTCCATTTTTAATTTTTTGAGGAAACACCATATTGTTTTTCATAGTGTCTGCATCAGTCTGCATTCCCACCAGCAGTGTACTAGAGTCCCTTTTTCTTTACACCCTCACCAGCACTTGTTGTTTGAGGATTTGTTGATGGCAATCATTCTGACAGGTGTGAGGTGTTACCTCATTGTTGTTTTAATTTGCATCTCTCTGATGATTAGTGATGTTGAGCATTTTTTCATATGTCTCCTGCCCATTTGTATGTCCTGTTTGGAGAGGTGTCTATTCAGGTCATCTACCAACTATTTAATCAGATTATTTGTCCATTTGTTGAGTTGTATGAGTATTCTATATATTTTGGATATTAAACCCTTATTCGACATATAATTGGCGAATATGTTTTCTGACACACCAATCAGAAAGAATATATGCACCCCTATGTTCATAGCAATGTTATTTACAATTGCTAAGATCTGGAAACAACCCACATCTATCAGTAGATAAGTGGATAAAAAAGCTGTGGTACATTTACACAATGGAACACTATGTAGCTGTAAGAAAGAAAGATCTCTTACCGTTTCAGATGACATGGAGGAACCTGGGGAGTATTATGCTAAGTGAAATAAGCCAGTCAGGGAAAGACAAGTACCACATGATCTCACTTATTAATGGAACATCATGAACAAAATAAGCTGTTGACCAAAACAGATTGAGAATCATGGAAGTAGGGAACAGACTAACAAAGACCTCAGAGAGATGGGGGCAGGGGTGGGGTGGGGGGTTAGGAGGGGTGGGAAGAGATAGAACAAAGAATTTATATGCATATATATACAACCAGTGAACACAGACATTAGGTTAGAGAAGACGGAGAAGATGGGAGCAGGGAGGAGGGGGTCAATGGGGATAAAAAGAGGGACATCTGTAATACTTTCAACAATAAAAATAAATAAATAAATGAATAACTGAAATGCAAATTCTTAGGCCCTACCACAGACATACTGAATTAGAAACTCCGGATGTGAGGCTTAACAAATTGTGTTTAAACCATTTCTCCTGGTGATTCTAATGCCTATAGTGAGAACTACTGTTATATTCCTCTCTGCTCGCACAGCTACAAATGCGCAGCTCCTGAGTTCAAGTGTCCCTTTTGCCCCCTGGAAATCAGAGTTTTAAATTGGGTATTGTTAAACCTTGCCCCACCCCCACCTCCACAATTTTAAATTATGCTGTCACTTGATCATCAACTCATCCTGATGCTTCACAGTGACACACAATTCCAGCCTCAGCCTCATAGAAACAGGCTGTGTAGTTTCTGTCCCTGCAAAGGACTTATTTTATGCTTTGATCCTATAACTCTAGGTAGCATTTATAACTTGAATGGACATAGTACACCTTAATGCTGCCTCTGTTCTTATTGTAAGGCAAATGGCAGATCAAATTATTGTTTCTTTATTTGCACAAAGTGTTTTTTTTATCTTTTATCTAAGATGTGGTTTAGAAAAGCCTATGATTCTTTTCTTAAGGCCAATGCACCTTTCTAAACTAGTCTGGAAGTAATCTTGCATCTTAATGTATTACTAATATACGATTGGAAGAGAAAGGCTAATTAGTCAAGCAGGATGGATGAGGGGACCAAATTTATATTTTGCTCTTTGTGAGCTAGCATTATTTTCTATGCCCCTAAATTTACCATACCTTGGGCACTTGTATTTGTTCCATTGTTTACCCCATTTGTCATGTAAATGCAATCTATTTTGAACTCAATTTTCAGCTTGAAGAATGCTCTGTTACAAGAAATGCAATTATTATGTACATTAAACTTGTTATTGTTGGATGCACTAATTTTCTAATGAATGACATATTTACTCATGAATAACAGTGCAGTGCTTAATTTTAGAGATGCCATTACAAATATTTTGAAATGAGAAGCAATGGCTATTTTCCCAACACATTTGGTCCCATTTACTGATTTCACTTAACAAATATTCTTCTAGCTCTTATTGTATGCTGGACCTCATCTCAGCATTTTATAACTGTTAACTTATTTATCTTTATGTAATCCCATTAAGTGAGTAGTACTGTTATGCCTGTTTTACAGATGAAAACACTGACTAAGAGGGTTTAAATCACTTGCCTAAGATTCATACAACTAAGTGCTGAAAATTAGATTTGCATGCCTTCCCCTGTGCTCACAGTATACTTTTCCTTCATTTTAAAAATCACTTTTAAGACCAATAATCCTTATTGATTATGTCACATACCTATAAAATATGGATTTTTAATATGAATTGTGAGCATGAAATATGAATATAAATTTAATATTAAAAACACAGACGCTATTCTTTGAATTGTATTTCATAAAAGATAGTGTGTTTACTACCATATTATGTTTGAGAAAAAGCCCTAGAATTATTAAAACTAAAGTAATTTTTAATTATATTAATATTCTGTCTTGTGTAGTCTCCCAAATTATGTGAAGGTGGGAAGTGGCTAAAGATGTCATTCTCTTGATCATTTTACTCTTCTCAGAAAATTTCTTTAGGAGTAATTGTAATTTCATCTAGGTAGATATGGTCATACTATCTTGGTTAGTTTTCCTGGAAATTCTGTTTCTCCCCAAAATTATTAATAAAAGAAAATGCAGCCCAGTCGGTGTGGCTCAGTGGTCGAGCATAGACCCATGCACCAAGAGGTTGCTGGTTCGATTCCTGGTCAGGGCACGTGCGCATGTTGTGGGCCCGATCCCCAGTGCAGGCCAATCGATGTTCTCTCTCATCAATGTTTCCATCTCTCTCTTCCTCTCCCTTCTTCTCTTTCTAAAATCAATAAAGAACTTTAAATAAGTAAAACATATGACTACTTCAAGAAAAAAAAAGTAAATGCATTATTTCAGCTGATGTTATACTGAAAAATTTTGTGGCTTAAAATGATTTATTTTGGGCACTTCATAAGTTATATAAATATCTAACTGCTATGCTGTATACCTACAACTGATGTGATATTGAATGTCAACTGTAATTGAAAAAAAACTTAAAAATAAGTGAATAAAAGTATTTATTTTGGAAAAATACTTTTGAAGAGTTTCAAGTGCTACACTAAAATCAACTTTTTGTTTGATTAACAAATACAACAAAAACTCTATCCAACCAATAAAAATGTATGCTATAAATATATCATGGCCACATTGTTTTCATTATAAGTTTGATGAAATATCGTCTTCAGGAGAGATACATTACCGACAGCGATGAAAAACAAAACATCAGAAATTCCACTGAAGTTCAGGTGGCGGTGTTGTTCACTGCCACCCATTCATGTTACCACCAGACTTTTTAAATTTACACCAAGGGAATACAGTCTCTCAGCCTGTGACAGCTAGAGGAGAAATCACAATGGTAGAAATATGTTCTTATAGATGGCTCAAGAAGACTTGCTCTTATTCTGCTCAACTTTTATATAATTGGAAAGGCAGACACCAATACTTAGAACAAATATAATAAAAATTCAAGCAAACCTTTCTTTTTTCAATATTTTCTTTCCAATAGAAGTTTTTCTTCCTTATCATCTTTCCCTTCTTAAGGTTAAAACTACACAACCACCACAAACTAATCCAGATGAAATGTTCCATTGTTACCCTGGCTGGTTTGGCTCAGTGGTTGGAGCATCAGCCTGTGGACCAAAGAGTCTCAGGTTTGATTCCGGTCAAGGACACGTACCTCAGTTGCAGTTTAGTCGCTGGCCCTGGCCAGGGTCATGTGGGAGGCAATCCATCTCTCTCTCTCTCTCTCTCTCTCTCTCTCTCTCACTCTCTTCCTCTCTCCCACTCTATCTGAAGATAAATGGAAAAATATCCTTGGGTGAGGATTTTAGAAAAAAACATTTTTTCCCATTGTCCATTTACTTCCTTATATTTTTCTAATGTCATCTTTTTTTTTCTTTATTGATTTTAGAGGGAGAGGGAGAGAGAGAGAAACATCGATGAGAGAGAACATTGATTGGCCATCCCCTGCACGCCCCCCATCGGAGATTTGGCCCACAACCTAAGCATGTGCCCTGACCAGAAATCAAACCCGTGACCTCTTGGTGCATGGGTCAATGCTCAACCACTGAGCCACACTGGCCTGGCAACTAATGTTATCTTTTTTAACTCAAATTTAAATTCAGGGTTCTTACCTTTTTATAAAATTTGTTGAGATATCTTCTAGAGAATGATTCTTCAGACATTGTGTCTCATTGCTCTGGGTTACTGTGAACACATCTTAAATGTGTTAGCATATTTTAACAAGCATGCAATATTTTTTTCACTATAACTGAAGGCACAAGTTGTTATGGTATTTCCTTCAGACAAAATATTGAGCTAAAGAATGAAAAAAAGCAAAAGTTCAGGTCAATATCAAAAAAAGCATGTGCTTATGGTTATATGCAAGAACTTTGACTACTAATCTTTTAAGAAAATGAACTCAGAAAGAGTTCTACTCAGAGTACTAAAGGGTAACCAAATGAAGACAGTAATAATTATTGATTCTTTTAGTCAATATATAGTCAGAACTACACATTGATATCTGTTAACTGCCAGATAGACACTTTTATAAACTCTAGAATAAAAACACACAGTCCAACATTTTAAAAATTATAGTTTTCTTTAAATCATCCCAGTCTCATTTGTAATTGTTTTGAATTTTGCATGGCATTATTATTATCCTGTATTGTGGTGAAAAGTTTCATAGATTCAAGTATTCAAATATTTTCCTCAAATGCAGAAAGGATAAAAACCACAGCTAGAAAGGAGCCCTGTGATTTCTTTAAAATACTGTCCTGAAGAAAAAGAATACTATTTTATGCTTCTTATACTCTTCACAGCCTTCTATATAACAACACATAAATTTGTCCTCTTAGGATTAAGATAGTGTCTCAAATTTAAATTTTACTCATATAGTGGACCCAATAGCACCATAAACCCTTTAAACCCAGGTTCTCTGAAAATTCAGCTAAAGACAAAATTTATCATTCTTCCTCCTAATTAATGAGCAGATTAAACAGAGGGGAAGGGCAGCAGGGATTTCCATCCATTAGCAATGGTCTAAGTCACTACAAATGAACCTACAGAAAGCAGCACAAGGTTAAGGCCAAAAATCCCATTAAATACCTGTCAAAACCTGAAATTTTAGAAGCTCACAGTGCAAGCTGACTTACACACCAGGTCATTTTGTATCTTTCAATATGCAGTTTAGCCACAATGGTAATTAGAGCAGTTATTGATTTAGTTTGCAGTTTTTTTCATTTTGGATGAGATAAGAATAGTAATATCTGATTCTGTAACATATTAGATGTTACACTTAATCAGTATTTCACGAAGGATATAGGAAAGTATGAAAACCCTCACACTTCTATGGCTATAGTTAAGATATATCAACACATAAGACATTGATTGTCATTTAACAATGTTATAAAAGTATTTCTAAACACTCTAGGAAATATACCTACCAGTAATACAATTATTCTTCGAAAGAGAAAATAATTGCTCAAGGAAATCAAAGAAAGTAAGTGCACAGTTAAGATACTATTCTTGTGCTCATGCTACCTTTACGACCAATCAAAATACTAACCTTATTAGGGAGCTTTTATAAATAAAGATTTTAAAATGAACTTTATAGAACTGTTCCAAGACTGAGAATTATCTAGACTCTGTAAACTTATAAAGCAGAAGCTGAGGAGTCAATGTTTTAACAATTGTATTTCAAGCTATAATAAGCTTTATTATCAGATTTCTGAATTGCAAAATGAACAAGAAGCAGTAATAAAAACATAAAAAGTTAAACTCTTTTTCTATTTATTCATTTCATAGAGGTAAAAGTGTTTTTGTTTTTAATTTACATCTTCCTTTCACCACATTTACCTAATAATAACTCTGATAGAGAGAACTAATGAATCTAAGATACTCATAAAACTTCTGTCTATTCACCTATTTATCCTTTTATAAGTGCAGCAATTTTTAAACATGGTCCAATATTCTTTGATACTCCTCCTTCTGCCACTACATCATAGAAATAATTCAGCAGAGGTGATATTATGCCAATTTCCAATTCCAAGCTAAGCCTTTAAAAAAGTAAAAGCTTCTAGTTCCTGTCCCTTGACACACTGATTTTTAAAACTCAAGGAAGTGTAAACAGCTCATGGCAAAGGTCAAAGGAGTCTGCAGCCCTTAGCCTCATCTGAACTTTTAGTCAATAATCAGTTTCAACATGCTCACCATGGGCATGAGACATCTAAGAAGTGGATTCTCCATTCCCCTATCAAGGCAGCTCCGATGGCAAATCCTGGGGCAGACATAAACTTTGCCTGACAAACTCTTCCCAAATGTAGATTCATTGTGGTTGTTTTAAACCACTAAAGTATTGTTTTGTTTTTTAATGCAATAAATCATTGAAAGATATTTTGTATCTGTGTGCATGGGGAAATTGAGGGTGGGGGAGTGGTAGTTTTCCTTAACAACAATCTAAAATACGTGGCAATGAATTTGGAACTTCATGGTAGGTAACGTTCCTAGACTGAATCATGAAGAACTTCAAAATCTTGATCAACAGTGATGAAATCGAAACAACCATCAAAAACCTCCCTAAAGGTAAAAAGTCCATAGTAAATTCTACCAAACATTTGACTATTTAATGCCTTTCCTTTTCAAACTCTTCCAAAAAATTGAGGAAGAGGCAATACTTTCTAACACATTTTATGAGGCCAACATAACCCTGATACCAAAACCTGACAAGGATCATACACACACACACACACACACACACACACACACACACACTACAGAGCAATATCTCTGGTGAATATTTTACTTGCAAGATGATGAGACCTCAGTTCTTGACTTATTGAAGAAAAAAATTAGTCAAGTGACAAAGCGCAGCAAAGCAAGAAAGAACTTACTTGCCACAGCAAAGGTACACTTAGGACAGTGAAACAAGGAAGGGCATAGAAGAAGCGATGGGAGACCCTAGGTTAGGCTGCTTTGGCTCACTGGAAAGACAGAGACAAGGGGCTTTGGAGACAGGCTCAGGCGGTTAGCCCAGGACAAGCTGCCACTGTTCATTGGTCTCCTGGTTGCAAGTCTCATGAGATCCCGTAGAGTTTAGGAGATGTGTGCCTGTGGGAAGAAGAGAGGGGAGGGAATGATGCGGTGATCTCCCAGAGGGAGAGAATGCACGGGCTCCTTTGTCTTGAGGGTTTTCATCTCTCTCTTGTAGGCAGGAATCTTAGGGGAGGTCTCAGGAGAGGATCTAAATAGATTATTAATCAGCTTTCCAGGTGTGTCCTTTCAAGGTAATGGTCTTCACTGATTGGCCTGCACCAGGGCAGGGGGTCATTAGTCAACACAGCTTGTCCTGAGGCAGCCATGGCATCACGTGTCTGGCATTGCTGCTTTTCTAGGCTTGAAGATGAACTATAACTGAGGCCTAGATGTTATTTTTAGGGAGGAAAGGTCAGGGGGTCCAAACCCTAAATGGCAGTGATATGCTAGGGGAGGAAAGGTTACCCTAGAGACAAGGTCCTCATTTTCCCAGTTTTGCTTTGCACTAGGCACCCAGGGCTTTCCACCCTGGTGACCTTCTGCACTTGGCCCATCATCCTTGCTCTGCTCACGTCTGTCTAACTGCCTATCACAAATACAGATGTAAAAATCCAAAACAAAATATTAGCAAATCAAATACAACACTACATTAAAAGATAATAAATCAAAATCAAGTGGGGTTCATTCCAGGGGCACAAAGATGATTCAGCATAAGCAAAGTGATCAATATGATACACCACATTAACAAAATAAAGGATAAAATCATATGATCATATCAATAGATGCAAAAAAAAAGCATTTGACAAGATATGCCATTTATCTGAATAAAATGGGTATGCAAGAAAAGTATCTCAACATAATAAAGGCCATATATGACAAACCCTGACCTAATATCATACTCAGTGGTGAAATACTGAAAAAGATCAGGAACAAGACAAGGTTGCCCACTCTCACCACTGCTATTCAACATAGTACTAGAAGTCCGAGCCAGAGCAATCATGCTAGAGAAAGAAATAGAAAGCATCTAAATTGGGAATGAAGAAGTAAAATTATCACTTTTGCAGATGACATTATTCTTTATATTAAAAACCCTAATGACTCGACAAAAAAAAACTATTAGAAACAATAAATAAATGCAGTGAAGTTGTAGGATACAAAATCAATGTACACAAATCCATTGCATTTTTATGTACTAACAATGAAATTTCAGACAAAGAAATGAAAAATCAATTCCTTTTGTAATTGCAATAAGAATATACCTAGGAATAAACTTAACAAAGGATGTGAAGGACACATAAACTGGAATTTATAAGACAAGGAAGGAGGGGCAGGAAGATATTAACCAAAGAACTTATATGCATATATGCATAGCCCATGATTACAGATAATAGGGTGGTGAAGCGGGGCAATGGGAAAAAAATTTATGACATCTTTAATATTCTCAAAAATAAATATATTTTTTAAAAAATTGAAGAAGAAATCAAGAAATGGAAAAACATTCTGTTCATGGATTGGAAAAATCAACAGTTACAATGTCCATGTTAACCAAAGCAATATACAAATTCAATGCAATCCTCATTAAAATCCTAATGACATTTTTTAAAGAAAGAAATAGAACACAAAATCATCAGATTTGTATGGAACTAAAAAAAAAAAACCGAATAGCCAAACAAATTCTGAGAAAAAGAACAGTCAGAAGTATCACACTCCCTGGCTTCAAATTATACTATAAAGTGACAATAATCAAAACTGCATGATACTGACAGAAAAACAGACACACAGACCAATGAAACAGAATTGAGAGCCTAGAAATAAACCCAGATGTATATGTGCAAATAACTTTCAACAAAGGAGCCAAAACTATACAATGGGGAAAAGGAAGCTTGTTCAATAAATGGAAGTTGGAAAAATTGTAAAGCCATATGCAAAAGAATGAAACTAGACTGCTATTTGTCACCATACACAAAACTTAACTCTAAACAGATGAGCTGAAACAAATAATTACATAGATGAAAACATAGGTACTAAACTTGTGGACCTTAGTCTCACAGAGGATTTTATAAATTCGAACTTGAAGGCAGGGAAGCAAAAGCAAAAATTAATAAATGAGACCACATCAAACTAAAAAGTTTCTGCATAGCAAAATAAACTGTCAACAAAACAAAGAGACAATTTATGGAATGAGAGAAAATATTTGCAAACAGCTCCAACTAGGGGTTAATACCCACAAACTAT